GGCTGTTAGAGGAAGGTGAACACAAAAAGATCAGCTGGGAGGTTATTGCAAAAATCTAGATAAATATGGTTGTTGGTTTGGGAGCAGTGAAGGTGGTAAGAAATGTGAAGTGTTCACATTATGAATATATTTTGAAAGTAAAGGCAATAAATTTGCTACTACATTGGGAGAAAGATTGAAAAAAAAAAAAAAAAAAAAAGACTCCAAAGCATTTGCTTGATGAGCTGGAAAGATGGACTAGCCACTAACTGAGACAGGAGAAGACAGGCAGAAGCAAGTTTGGAAAAAAACATCAGTGTTTCTGGTTTTCACCAGGAGCTATCACAATAGATACATTGATTAGAAATGGGATATATGCACCTGGAGTTCAGAAAATAGACGCTGGCTAAAGATAATTGATGACTGGATGCTTGTACTTTTTGATCTTTATCACAAACTGTCAACAGAAAGCTCATACAACACACCATAACCAAGGAGATGCTGACAGTGACTGATAGCACTGATTTCAGAATGTGATTTATACTTGGCATGATTCTCTGACCCTTGGGAGGGTCAGACAGTTCTTTTTTGAGGGGTGTCCTGTGCACTGTAGGATGTTTAGCAGCATCTCTGGCTTCTACTCACAAGATGCCAGTAGCATGGACAACCAGAAATGTTGAATATACTCTGGGAACAAAACAGCCCCCAGGTAAAAACCACTGATTTACAGCAACACTACTGTATATTTTAAAATGTGGTAGGGGAGGGGGAGGAGGAAGTATGTCTCAAATAAATGAAATAGATCGTTAAAATCTGGAATTATGCTTGGAGGTGTGGCTCAAGTGGCAGAGAGCTTGCCTAGCTAGTACAAAGTGCTGAGTTCAAACCCCACTATCAGCCCTCCCCCACAGAAAAAAAAACTTGGGAATCGTGACTGGATTGGGGCATGACTCAAGTGGTAGAGCTCTAAGGGGTAGGGCCTGAGTTCAACCAAAAAAAAACAAAAGAAAAAAAATTTTCTTTTGAGTTGTCAGTGAGTATGGATGACATTAATGGGAATTGGTATAGCACACCTATAAACCCAGCACTTGGGAGGCAGGAGGTTAGAAGTTTGAGGCCACCCTGGGCTACACAACAAGACCTTGTCTCAAAAACCCAAAATAGGGCTGGGCACCAGTGGCTCATACCTGTAATCCTAGCTACTCAGGAGGCAGAGATCAGGAGAATCGAGGTTCTCCTGGGCAAACAGTTCTTGAAATACCCAACACAAAATAGGGCTAGGAGAGTGGCTTAAGTGGTAAGAGCACCTGCCTAGCAAGCGTGAGGCTCTGACTTCAAATGCCAGTGCTGCCAAAAACAACAACAAAATCAAAATAGGAATGGCTATAGATAGGAAGGAAGGAAGTCTGAGCACTGTGTCTTGAGGCACTTCAAAGTCAAGATATGTAGACATCAGAAGACTAAGGAATGACTAAAGGCCACTACATAATAAAAAGCTCTTTAGGTGGGGAGGGGGGAGTATTGGGGTTTGAACTCAGGACTTGCACTTGCTAAACATCACTTTGAGCCATGCTTCCAGCTGTTTTTGCTCTGGTTATTTCTGAAATAGGACCTCATTTCCTGCCCAGGCCAAAAAGGATCATGATTCTCCTATTTATGCTTCCCATAGTAGCTGAGATGACAGGCAAGGCTACTATGCCTAGCTTCTGTTGAGATGGGGTCTGGGGGGTGTCTCACGAATTTTTTTTGCCTGATCTGTTACCCTCCTGATCTCAGTCTCCCATGTAAGTGGAAGCCATACAGCTTATCTATTGCCCTCAATTCTCCAGAGTAGTTTAGGATTATAGGCAGGGGCCACTGGTGTCCACCTAAAACATTTTATTTTTTAAATTAAATGGCAAATTTATAAGACAATGACCATTTTTGGAAGCTACAAAGTACATAGCTTTGTTACCAACTATCAGGACCAAGAAAAGTCAAATGTGGAGCTAGAACACTGATGAAAAACAGATTAGTACTCAAATTACATTCTGAAACACTGAAAGTACCCAGAAGCAGCAGCAGAAGTGACAGTGGGACTAAACGCAGGAGGACTGGTAGAAACCATATTTAAGAAAGCAGTTAATTCTCAGATTCCCTCCTCTACATGCCTATCAGCAGTGGACTCGGGTTCAGATTGATATTCACTCATAGGATCCAACAAACAGAGGCAGGCATGAAGTTCGCTCAGTTCTGGCATGCTAGCCTCAGACATACCATTTTCAGAGGGAGTTCGTAATGCCCATAGGCATTTTATGGACAAAAAATGACTGGCTGTAAGGGAAAGAGATCATGTGGGTAAGAAAAGAAAACACTGTAGCTCAGGGAAACTTCATGCTTCATCAGGACCAGGATTCCAAGGCCCTTCAGGGACATGTTCACTGCCACATCCAGAGTGAGAAGTCAGTAGACAAAACAGAAAACAGGAAAAAAAATCAATAAAGAGTGATATAATGGAGATTTAATGATACGCAGATAAATACAAGAACCAGCTGAAATAGTAGGAAGAACTTACCTCTGGGAGCAGAATATGGTGTGTGTGTGTATACGAGAGAGAGAGAGAGAGAGAGAGAGAGAGAAAGAGAGAGAGAGAGAGAGAGAGAGAGAGAGAGACAGACAGACAGAGACAGAGATTTTTGTAAGAGCTCTTACAAAAGCCAAGTATGGCGGTTCACACCTGTAATTCTAGCTACTTGGGAGGCTGAGATTGAGAAGACTGCAGTTCCAGGACAGCCCGGGCAAAAAGAGACTCTAACTCAAAAAAAATTCAAGCAAAAAGGGCTGGAGCCATGGTTCAAGTGGGAGAGTACCTCCTACAAGTGGGACACTAAATTCAAACCCTCGTAGCTGTCAAAAAAAAAAAAATGTCTCACAGAACTACTTAATTTTTTAAGTAGTTCCTACAAGATTATTTCATTCTATGCATGAAAAACTAATGGAAAATTTTAAAATTATATTGAAGGACAATTTGAACTTAGCTCAGTTTACTTGGTTTGAATCAGAGTAGATCTAGAAAAAAATGATATTGAAGCAAATTCTAGGCTTGTTAAACCAACCACTTTTCTGTCCCTCTGGGCAAGGTACAAGAACAGGTCAGATAAGACTTTAAACCCTTTTTCCGCTTTATGTCTGGTTTACTCACCAAACAGTATATTAAAAGTATTACGTTAAACATTATACCATTGAACACTGGTATCCTTGCCTATGGATATCACTGGAAAACATTTTAGTGTGTTTGCTTTACTTGCCCTTATACTGTTTGAACTTCTTTAGTGTGTATTATAGATAGACACACATAACATTAGGGTCTCCATAATAATTACTTCATAACCTGTTCTTATTTATCTTGACCCAACTCAAAGTAATGTGGTAAGAAGTAAGTCATAAAAACACGTAAGACAAAGAATGATAAGACAACACATCTCTAATAAAATATTTCTCAAATCTCTGCAGGTACAGGTAAAGACATGAAATGACACATACTAATATAATTCTCAGGTATAAGGTAGAAACCAGGTTTCTTCATAAAGTAAAAACCAGCTTTCAAGTTCTCTTTAGAATGTATGCCAAGTAGGCAAGATTCATTTTAAACAAATCAAAGTTTATTCTTTAGACTGATATGATTTACTAACTTTCTTTGCAATAAAACAAGTTTATTTCCAAATCACCATAATGACTGATTCATGTTTCTTTTGTGCTCCACAGTACCTAGAACAAAGTTAAGCATGTGGGTAAATGCCAAGTTTAGATTATCAATCAATCTAAAGAATTAAATCAACTGGAGAGAAAAAAGCATCAAAAAATAATAATGCAAATTTTAAATTTCTCTGAAATTCCTTAAACAATGTTTTACAAGATTTTACATTTGTGCTGATTATGCATTAACAGATTCTTTTGCCTTGTATTAGCGAGTGTGTAAACACAGGCTCATTAGAAACACTGACATTATTTTGCCCCACTGATTTTCTTCCTTCTTGCTGCTACCCTTTAACAGAATTGCCATCTTCTTACGAAAAGAACTTTTACAAAGAATTTATCATCACACCCAGAAAAACTCCATCTTTAAAAAAATCTGATCATGGTTATCACTTTTGATTCTCTGACTACCCTATGAGGAAGGTAGACCAAGTAAAACTAATTCTATTTTTCTCATCAGAAATGATGTTCAGAGAACTGAATACTCACCCAAGTCCCGTGGGTAATAAGTGACAAGCATATAGCTCAGAACCAAGTTTTCTAAAGCCTAGTAGCTCTTTCTACTATATCACATGGACTCTGATAATAAAATGGAGTAGACTCTGAAAACTGGAATCTTAGAGAATTACAATGGGGATGTAAGTGGTTTTCTTAAAGCTCTCATTTTATTTGATGGGACTGGTTTTGATCTCGGGGCTTCAGACTTGTAAAACAGGTGCTCTACCGCTTGAACCACATCTCCAGTCCATTTTGCTCTGGTTATTTTGAAGATGGGGTTCTCATGAACTGTTTACCTGGGCTGGTCTTGAACCTCGATCCTCCTGGTCTCAGCCCCCAAGTAGCTAGGATTACAGGCATGAGCCACCAGCACCCAGCTTATACTCTCATTTGACAACATACATTGTTACCAGCTTAGTAATTATTAATAGCGTTGCAAATCACATTTCAAATTGGTTTTTTGGTGGTACTGGGGATCAAACCCAGTCTTGTGCAAGCTAGGCAAAGGCTCTACCCCTTGAGCCATGCCCCAGCCTTTTTTTCTTTAGAATATTTTTCAGATGAGGTCTCACGCTCTTGCCCAGGGCCAACCCAGACCTTGGTCCTCCTATATCTGCCTCCCATGTAGCTGGGATTGCAGGTGTTCATCACAATACCGAGCTCAAGATTTTTGACAAATTTTAAGAGTAGAAGAACTAAAAAAGTTAACTGAAACTGAACTTTAAGAATCATTTCCAACTTATTTTAATTCTGAAATACTTGGGGGGTGGAGAGGAGTTAAGATTTACCTCAGTAATTGGCTGCCCCTGGTATGTCAAATCCAGTTCTTGAGGGCGTGTCACTTTATCAATATCCAAAGAATCCATACTGGAGGCTGCAGAAGTAATGCTAGAACGAGAGGAGTTACTAATGGAGCGTACTTCAGCGTCACTCACTGTGCCTGCTGATGCGGTTCTTCTGTGCTGATTAGTTACTAAAGGCTTCGTATCTTCTAGTACAGATTGCTGAGCAGCCTCATCCATGCTCAGGGAGGCCTGTTCTAATTGTGCGGTGATGTCATCCAGAGAGTAGTTAGCAGGGGAGGGTTTAGGTATCCTATTAGATGAAGATGATAATCCTTTCAAAGTGCCATGTTTTGATGTATGTCGGCTGGCAGGTAATTTCTGAGTAGTTTTTGATTCTGTGATTGGACGCTTACTACTTCCTGAACCAATACTACTGAGCTCCTGCTCAATAGAGCAAAGATCAGCCATCAGGGCATCCAGATCCACAGTCTCTCCCTGATTGAGAGCTTCTGCAAAGAACAACACACAAGTTTCTGGAACACAATCAGAATGTGTAAATTCTATTAAATCAGTTAAATTGCGGGGGGAGGCAGCAAATGAATTAGTCCTGACAGTCAACCAAATGAAGTATTCAACAGGTGTTTGTTTTAAATTCCAAGGGAATTTTAAAAAACAAATAGTCTACCTCTTAAAATCTCTAGTAATCAAAGAGAATAAAGTTATGAGTTCAAAGACAAAATGTGCAAAAATCTTATACTGTTCTATGGTTTTAACTACATTCCCCCATGCAACTTTTTAACCACAGGTTTAAAAAAGCTACTAATATGGTCATTGCCCAGGTAAAGATGTTATTACCAAAAGAGCTGAGGGCATAAAAAAAAATGAAAACTCTAAAAAAATTCCAAATACTATAAAGCTGACTAGGCAGAGTACATTAAATAAAGGTAGTAGGGGGTGACATTAAAATTACTAATAGCTGGGCACAGTGGCTCAAGCCTATGATCCCAGCTACTTGGAAGGCAGAGACCTAGAAGATCACAGTTAAAGGCCAGCCCAGGTGAAAACAGGTGGCAAGATTCCATCTCAATCAATAAGCCAGCTGTGGTGGTAGGTTGTGGTCCAAAGAGGAGGATTGTGGTCTGAGATCTGTCCCAAGCAAAAAATGCTCGACCTTACCTGAAAAATAACTAAAGCAAAAAGGGATGGGGGCATGACTCAAGTGGCAGAACACTTGCTGAGCAAGTGCCAGGCCCTGAATTCAGACCACAGCACTGCCCAAATAACAACAAAACATTAACAAACAGCTTCTTTGGATTTTAATCCAATAACAAAATAACAATGTAATTAAATTTGCTGTGGGGTTCCTTCTGAGTATGTACTTTGTCAATAATAAACAGACTATCTTAGTTATGTTCTACTTGCTCTTTTCTGTGATAATTTAAATTAGTAATATGGACAAATCAAGAAAAATGTAGCTCAGCCAAATTACGCTTTTTTTTTTTTTTTTTTGGCAGTACTGGGTTGAATTCAGGCCCTCGAGCTTGCTAGGGAGGTAGTCTACCACTTGAGCCACACCTCTAGTCCTTTTGGTTTTAGCTGTATTTTTAACAGGGCTTCACATTATCCCCAAGGGTTGGCCTAGATCCCAATCCTCTTATTTATGCCTCCTATGTAGTTGGTATGACAGGTGTGCACCACCATACCCATCTTTTATTGGTTGAGATAAAGTCTGGTGAACACTTTGCCCTAGAACTGCCATCCTCTCAATCTCAGCATCCCCGAGTATCTAGGATTACAGACATGAGTCACTGCAGCAGCTAAGTTATGCATATAGTTTTTATGTTGAGTTTTGTATTTGGAATTGTAGCTGCATTATTCTTATGTAATGTAACTTTTTATACTTTTACACTTTACTTAGCTACATCTTACCATTCAAGTTGTATATGGAGAAACGATAAGAAAAATTGGCCATGTTTGTTTCCTGGCGAAGAGGAGATCTTTTTACTGGTTCTGTGGGCTTGTCAGAATCCAAACTCTTTAAAAAAGAAAATTCAATTCGGTCACATCAATTTAATTATATAAAAAGATGAATAAAATTGCTTTATGAGTAAATGAAGTGCCATATAATAATAAAGCCAAAATTCTTCTAAGCGATAGCCTTAAGAAAAAGTATAATTTGGTTTTCACTTTTTTTTCTGTTATTTCAGTTTTTAGATATATCCTTACTTTTAAGGCACCTAACATGTGAGGCTGTGACAGTTCAGAGTAAATATCTTTTCATATACATCAAGTTTAGTGACTGACCTCATCTTACATAAATTGAGTAAAAATAAGCTAGGTACTTGAATATGGACATGGTAAGATATGAAATGGAAAGGAACCCTGCAGAGAGTTCTGTTATCTCTTTCCTCAAGGGGAAGTGTTTTTAGTCTAGCATAACTTCATTCTTTGCCAAGAAGTAGCCTGAAGATAAGGGGCAATCTTATATTCAAAATTAGTGAGACATCAGACCTTAACAAAGAGCAATTACGACTTGAAACAGTAACGGAATATTTTTGTTCTTTTCACAAGCTCTATCAACGTGCAAGCAAGCTATAACTTGGCTACACTGTGCAAAACTAGGAATACAGCTACACTTATGGATAGGGTGACTTACAAGTTATTTCACCATTGTTTACTTTTTAAATTTTATGTTTGCTTATTTGTTGATTTGTTATTTATTTGGTGCTGGAGACTGAACCCAGAGCCTTGTGTATAGCTAGCACACCCTCTATCACTGAGCAATATACTTCCAGCCCTCACCACTTCTTTAAGTGATACTTTTTTTCCTCTAACCTTTCTACAATAAGGAAAAAATATTTACAACAGAGAAATTAAGAGTAAAAGAAATTCAATTTAGTGTCCATTTAAAAATTTTTTGCAACTATTAGTAAATATTTTAAAACCTTTTCTATCCAAAGTATGTAACTGAGCTTGAAGTATTTTTTTTAAAAATTGGATATTCTATTTGTAGAATCGTGACATTAGGTTAGACTGCTATCTTTGCTATCCATTTATCTCAAGACAAAATAAATACTTAGAGTGCCTATCCTACTTTTAAAGCAATTAAATTAAAGGGATCCACTTCTTTGTTACTTTATTGTTTTACAAAACCACCAAGAAATTCTCCTTTAACCTCAGATCTAATTCTTCTTCAATAATTTAAATCCTAATCCTCTATCTCGCAGTAGAATTAGAGAATAAAAAGGACCTAACATTGTCTGTAAAATAACTTGAGTATAACTGAGACATTTTAAAAGTCAATCTACTTACCAGTTCAAGTAAATGGGCATTTATTATAATACCTGCTTGGGTCCATGGTGCTGAGGCAACAGAGGAAATAGTAAATAGTCCTTAGCTAAGAAACTGGGTGATCAAACCAGTAGTATATTAACCAACAGAATAACAGAGAATTGCCAACTACTTAAACTTAAACTTGATTTAATATAAAGCTGAAAATTATCAACATTGAATATGTGCACGTGTAGTAAAACAAAGTAATGAAATAAACAAGAAATTTGAGGTTTTGGCCACTAATTTAGTTAAGGCAAATATTTCTTGAAAATTTACAAAGTGTTGAAAAGCAGTATGTTAGCAGTCTCGAAAATATGTCTCGAAAGACATATTTATATGATAAAAAGAATAATCAGAGCACTAGTTTAAAAGCCAACTTTTTTGGTAAGTGGCTCTCTACATTTATATCAGGTAATTTACAACACTGGGGAGAATACATGGTACCAACCAGTAGAGATACCATTTATAGTGGAGCAGCACAGAGTTTCTACTCCATCTAGAATGGCTAGATTGATGCCTACCTGTCTTTTCCTTTATGGCCCTACCAGCTATGGTCAATAAAACCACATGGTCAGTGACATCCTCAGTCAGCAGTCCCTCACATACATCCTCCTTCAGGATTATCATTTCTATTTCTTCTCCTTTGTTTCCTCTTTCTCCCCAGCACAGAACTGCACAGACTAGTGAACATCTCTATGCCAAAATTATCTCTTATAAAAAATTCAGAACAAACAAATGGTTTGGCAACTGCAGACTTAAGAGACATTTTTGGCAAAAATAAGCTTCCTTCTTCTGATTAGTGGTGAGACAGTGATTCATATGAACTCTTCATAGAATTGAAAACATTCTCTCCAAAATTCAGTATTAACAGGTCATAGTCATAAACATAATTTGCCTTTCAAAATGATCTATGACTACAGAAATAAGCTATCACTTTTAAGCTTGCTTTTCCACTAGTTAAGGAATCTTGTATTTATGCATTTCCAAAGGCATTATTTAAGGGTAAATAAGTTTTGTTCTAATGTTCTCATTGGTATGAAATTACATTTACTTTAATAAATATAACCATTTTCACATATTGAGTATAATGTATTAACTAAGGCAGTAAAAATTGTACCATTTCATTCTTTAAAACAAAGAATAAGGGGATAAGCAGGGTGCTGGTGGCTCAGGAGGCAGAGATCAGGAAGATTACGGTTCAAAGCAAGCCCAGGCAAACAGTTCCAAAGACCCTATCTTGAAAAAAACCATCACAAAAAAAAAAAGGGCTGGAGGAGTGGCTCAAGGTGAAGGCCTTGAGTTCAAGCTCCAGTACCACAAAAAAAAAAAAAAAGGGGGGGGGGGAATAAGATCATTACTTTGTAAAAACCCAAGATCCAATAAGAAAAATGAAAAAAATTTTGCCACTATTTTAAATGTAGCCTGGAATGAAAGTTTGTCAATATTCTGGAAATGTGTTACTTATATATGAGGAAACAATTTGTTATAAAATGTATTTAAATTTACTAAATTATAGAATGAAATTTGTTAAAATTTAGACTTTTAAATTTTAGACTTTAAAACTTTTTTTAGCTAGCAAGCTCAAGTTTAGGGAATAAATATTAAGTAACTCCTCCAAATGAACAGAATCTCTATCACAATTTTTTTTTAATCCTTAGCTAAAACTGCAGATCATCATGTTAAGCAAAACAAACCAGACTCAGAAAGACAAATATTGCATGTTTTCTCTCCTATGTGGAATATAGATTTAAAAAAAAAAAAAGAAGAAGATATGAAAGTAGAAGGGGAACTATTTGGAAAGGGAAAGGTGTCCAGCAAGAGTGGGGGAGGGAAACAAGAGAGGATAACGGGTAAAGATAAGTATTATCAAGATACAATATATACGTATCTGAAAATGCCATAATAAAAGTCATTGTATACAATTAATATATGCTACTAAAAAAATTGACAGAAAAAAACAGAAGATACTATCTTGTATGGTAGTTACTTGTTACTTTATTTACATTTACTTGTTAATGTTTTGAACATTTTTTCTTCCCAGCAGTATCTTATTTTATTTATTTATTTATTTTTTATTCATATGTGCATACAATGTTTGGGTCATTTCTCCCCCCTCCCTCCACCCCCTCCCTCCCTACCTCCCACCATCTCCCTCCCTTACCCCCATCCTACCCCCTCCCTCTCCCCACCCAACAGAAACTATTTCCCAGCAGTATTTTAAAACTTAACCTGTATCCATATCCTTATGTGTGTACATTAAAATTTTAACATGCAGTGACTTCAAATCCTCAACCAGTTTTTCAAGCATTACTTCTAACCTGAGTTAGTTTGTCCAGTTCTCCAAGCCAGGCTCCAAACATTTTGTCTAGGTCTTGATCTTCCTTGTCACTGTCTTCTTCAGCACCATGGTCAATTTCTTCATCTGATAATTGTTCCATCTGAAATACAAATAATTGTGTTGAATGAGTAGTTAAAAATTTAACTTGAAAAAATCATACAGTGTATGTGCTGATGTAAATTGTAACTTTCTGTATTCAAACCTTCAAAACTGTAAGATTATAATATTTTTAAAAATTAGAAATTAGTAACAGAGATAATGTTGACCAGTAGAAATGAGGAATGAAGTCTCAAAGTTTTAGAAAATTGATAAAGAAAACAAACTACCAAAGTATGGCTAGAATCACAAGTAAAAATTAAAAATAAAACTTATAGAGCACCTGTCTCAAGCCATAGAGGCTACAACTTGCAGTATAGTCCTCTCTACTCTTGGACCCTATAATACCCCAAACCCCACAAAGGAACAATTTCAGAACAGTTTAATGTATCAAGGTATTATCTTATTCATTCTATAAAATCCTGTTCAGATACAAACTAATACGAATCTTGCAAAATCCTAATTGTATAAGTACAAAACAAATTTTTAAATCATTCAATGTACTGAACTAGGTTTTCCTTCTATCCTGCCCTCATTTTCTATCTTTGTCTTTTTTCTCTATCTTACTCATTTTCTATTAGTTCCTACAAAATCCAAGGAGAAAACAGAATTGAAAAAAATTTCAATTATATACAAATTTTTCTACATGCAGTAACTTTTCAAATAAGTCCCATGAAAGAAGAGATTATTTTCTTTCTTCCCATTAATAAAATGTGACAGCTGATTTGGAACTTGCATATTATTTTGTGATAAGGGGGGGATTAGACAAAACAAAATAAGATCAATGACTGGTTAATTTGATTAAAATATTTAACTATTAAAGACTGATGATTCTTCAAATAAAGCTTGACTTTGCTTAAGCCAGCACATTCCAAATTTAACTGACCACAAATACTTCTGGCAACATTTATTAATATTCTCACATCTACTAAGGTTTAAATATGTCCCCTTCAAAATTTGGGTGTTGCCAATGTGACAATATTGGCCTTTAAAAGATGAGTAAGCCAGGAAATCTAGCCCTTGTTAATGGAATTAAGGTCCTTATGAAAAAGGTCTGTCTTCCATATCATTGGGTTTACTTGTTCTTCTGCCATGTGAGAACACAGCATTCCTCCCCTCTAGAGGATGCAACAAGAAGGTTCTTACAAGGTACAATTGCCACTGCCTTGATTTCAGACTTCCCAATCTCCAAAACTGTGAGAAAATAAATGTCTATACTTTATAAAAATTCTCAAGAATTTTGTAAGACATCTATCTCCACAGCAGCAAAATGATCTCTGATCTTTGAGACCTAGAAGGAACCTAATTATCTAATGATGCATCATGAAGTTTAATTTTTAAATTTTATTTCACTATACAAAATTCACTTATTTCACTATATGAAATTTGGCAAATAATTTTGCAAAATTAAACTGAAATGACTTAATCCTAAACATGTTGAAAACTAAATCATATTCCATCTAATTACTTGAGAGAAATAATTTTCTTAGACCTAATATTGGGAAGGGCTACAGCTCAACAATGTTTTTATTATAAACTGGTAATTCGCATTTCTTAAGCTTTCATCACCCTTGTATTTAAATCAGGGCATTCTACCCTAGCAAATAGTTACTGGATCTACTAATAGGTTTTTAATCAACTGTTGAATAAGTTACAGATCTCAATAGAAACATGATATCAAAGTTATTTCAGTGATCTACCTATAAAAAAACCATAAAAATGTGAATGAAAACCCCTCTTCTGATCAGGTGATTTAATTAATCAAATAATAGTTGTTAGTTTGAGAAGTTGAGAGCAATAACATCCAGTCTTCAAAATAAGGGTCAATATGGAAACATCAACTTCCTTTTCTTTCTTAATCTTCAAAACTAGAATAATCCAGGAGCTCTAATATTCTAGGAGGAAACATGTTTTGAAATAGTGATATAGTATTTACATGCTTAATTACAGTTTATATTTCCAAGTACATTTAAAACAACTGAGTCTCCAATATTACAACTTTTGGCAGAGATAGCAACCTTGGTATCTTTAATGAATATTTTGGGCAACAATACATAAAAAACTGTATTTCTGGAGACTATATTCTTTACAGTAAACATCTGGTCACAGGAAGGTCAAATATCCATCCAGGTTACTCAGCATCAGGAAAACCTGTGATATAAGAACACTGTGACACATAGTATGAGGAAGTTATCATGTATGGATGAAAGGATATAGGGAGAAAACATTAGTCACAGATCTGTATGAACCAGACACTGTGTGTTATGGGTGGGTATCATTCCCACTCTGTAAGTGCGGTAGTTACTGTCCCCACTATGTAAAAGCAGGTAAGAGAGGGTAGTGAGCAGTGCTTAAGAGAGGGAAGCACTACAGCACCATCAACCATCTGGTCATATTATAGATGGGGCTTCCACACAAGATTTTATTTAAACCAAGCTCATGTTTTCAATATGAAAGGTTTAAAGCCTGCACTTCTCTTCTGGTCACACACTTTAATTGCCCATTAAAAAAATGCTATACTGGGAAAAAGTAAAACAAAAGGAAAATAATTGTTCAAATCAAATACAAAGTAACTCAAGGGCTGGGGGTATGGCTTAAATGGTACAGCACCTGCCTAGCAAGGGCAAGGCCCTAAAAAAAAGAACAGAAAACAAACATAAAGTAACTCAAAATAAATGTACTGTAGATTATCATGGATCCAAATAGAACTACAGACTCCAAATCTAAGTCTAGTGTGTTCTATGAGTTTTCCTCTGCTATTCCAACAAGTTATTTGAACTTCCCTTTAAGTATTTTCATTAGTTGTTTTATTTTTATATAGAACTACTTATAACTAAAGGAAAATATGGGTAAACAATGACAGAGAGCCACAGAAATATTAGAAATTTTGAAGTAACTTCTGTTCTCATTACTTTTGCCAATTCTGCCCTTTGAATGTCAACACATGGATTATTTTATTTAAAAAATAAACTTATTCAGAGGCTTTTCCAATAAAAATTTAGACCTTACAGCACTTGTCTAGCATGCATGAGGATACAGGTTCAATCCCTAGCACCACACACACACAGAGATCCTACCACATTTCTTAAAACATTTACCTTCCAAATCACATTCTCCATTCTCTAGAAGCTAATGCTGATGATCCTTACTCTCCAGCACCCAATACAGCATCATTTCTATTTATTCTCTGCAGCAAATGAAAGATCAGCAAGTCTTTTCATATGATCTGCACTAAAGCTAGCAAATACAGTAAGGAAATTTATTCTTGCTTGCCAACTGCTTGACATCTACACCCTACACATCCTAAAATCCGTTGTAATTGCTATACATTTATCACCAATTAAATCACAATTCTAAATCTAAATTTTGTCTACAGAAAGTTCCTACCAGAAACAGTAACAGTCACTGTCCCTCCAAACAGAGTGTAGAAAAGTTAAGAAAACAAAACTTACAAATCTTGTCTTTAAAATAACTTGTATTTTAAAATAGACAGATTTGAATGTGACGTTTTTCCTTTACAATATCCAAATAGGCTCAAGGCAACTTTACCGCATTTGATAAGAAATCCTTGCCTTGAGTGCTGGTGGTTCACACCCGTAATTCTAGCTATTTGGGAAGCTGAGACTGGAAGGATCGTGGTTTGAGGCCAGCCTGGGCAAATAGTTTGTGGGACCCAATCTCCAAACTAACCACAGCAAAATGGTAGAGTGCCTGCGTTGCAAGTGTGAAGCCCTGAGTGCTAACTCCAGTTCCCCTGCCCACCAAAAAAAGAAATCCTATTAATTTACTCTATGATTATTATACTACTCTAGGGGGATACACTAAAGTTTCACTTGAACTCCATGCTCCATTACAAGTGAGGGAAACTATGTTCTGAAATAGTAAACATACCCTACCATAAGTGAGGTTAATCCCCCAAGTGCAGACTAATTGAAGACAAAACAAAATCCAAAGTCACTGGCAGGTGGAAAGCACTGTGAGATATGAGCCTTCCAGGATTCCTCTTCCCACCATCCCATGCTCTCTCACTCCCCCAGCTAGACAAGCTACATTGTCCAGTGTTCTCTTCCACTGTCCTCGCTGTTCACTGGAACATACAGACTTGCTCCAACCCCTACCCTTTGCAAAGCACAATTTTCAGTCTGGAACTCTCTCTTCCAGACACTGACATGGCTCACTCCCTTTCTTTATTCAGGCCTCTGCTTAAAACAGCATCCTATCAAAACAGAAGCCCACCCTTATTACTTTCCGGTCCTTATATGGTTTTATGCTCTTATCACCACCTGTCTGTCACATTTACTGCCTCTCTTCCTTCACTAGAAGGAAACTCCACAAAAGAAAGGGTTTTCATTTCCTTCTGTAACCACAATTTGTGGAATGGTGCCTGGTTATAGGCATGTCATTAAATATCTCTGCTCAATGAATCTCAAGCTGTGTGTGTGTGAATGATACAGACTTTTAAAATGGTCCCGAAGAGCTAGTTCAAGGCCAAAGCCCACAAAATATCAATACAAGTACTGAAGGACCAAAGTCCAAAATTGACATTAACAGATTTCTATGCTAGTCTTCAGGACCAGATGCTTCATAAAAAACTCATTTAATTTTACACCAACTCTCAGATAATTGTTACTGATTTGTAAATGAAGAAAATTAGGCTGAAAGAAATTCAGAAATCCCCTAGGAATTTCCCAAGGCTTATATATAATAAATAGTGAGAATTTGAACCCAAATATGTACAACTTATTCTATTTTATCACTGGTTTTCAAACTGCCTACCAAAGAAGTGCTTTTAATGGTCACCATGTGTATACATGAGTTTGAGAAAGACATAATAAAAAACTTATTTTATTCATTCATTCAACAAGTATTTATTGAACAGCTACTACATGCCAGGCATTATCTAGGTAGAAGAATAGAACAGTAACATAAGTCAGAGGACAGTCCATTTATTAATGGATCCTTATTCTATTAGCATGAAAACAAAGGCAAGTCAATTACCAAAGA